CAAATGTATGAGTCATGGAGCGCTGCCTCCGACAACGGCAATTGTTTATAAGCCTTCTTCAAGTCAATCGTCCTAGCCATCAAAGATTCCTTCAAGCCTAAAGCCCGACCCCGCCTAGACCTATGAACCAACCCGACAATGATGCAGTCCACGCCGTGCGGAGCAATCGTCTCAGTCCCACTCGAGGTGAGATTGGCCAAACTCTCCGTTAGATCATCAATCGGACGAATCTTTTTGATCGAACCTTTGACGGCATCCCAGGAAGATTGCACCACCCCAAACCGTCGGGTGAGGATGGCATCTTTGGGAAGGTCGGAAAGTCCAAAGGGACCCTCGACCCATTTGGCATCAAGCTCGGCTAAGGTCAGACGATAAACTTCTCTGGCAACCTCAAGGTCTTCGGCAGTCCTGATTGAATCTTTGGTAGCCTGCCACACAGACCTCTGGTTGTCACTGGCGACTTCCCTCACTTCCGACACCGACAAGGATGCAAAGGTGGCCTTCTTGGGCATGACGCCTGAGCTGTCTGGGATGGGCCCAAGAAGATCAAAGCCCTCGCCAATATCATTCGGGAGATTGACGTCACCATAACCTGAGGTCTCAATCATCTCACCAAGTAATCGCATGGACTTGTTGGACAGGATGTCTCTGCAGTGAGGCGAGACAAGAGGCTCGTCGCACTCGTCTTTCAACTCCTTGGCCCTGAGCATCCACTGTCTAAGATTGGCTGTCCTCTCTTTGGCTAAGTCGGCCGGCGATTGAGACACGCACCTCTCAATGCATTCCTTGAGAGGCTTTGGCAAAGCAGAGGCCAGCAGCTTGGGGTGCTTGCATTTGATGGCTTGCGAGACAAAGTCGCTGGGCAGCCAAGGGATGCCAAACCTGACCATGCATGCACCTTTTGCCTCGAGACCTTGTTGGCTTCCCCTGTCAGGAAAGGAAGAGAGGCGCTTGGTGCCCACCGGTAGCACAGGGGTAGGCGGATGCACTATGCAGCTGGAATCAACAGGCCAGGCAGCCTCCAGCACAGAGCTGGACGGGATCTGGGATTCAGGACCACGAACAGTGACAATGGCAGCAAACTCAGTCACCAAAGGCGGCAGGCGCTTGTTGGGCTGGCGAGAGGCAGCAACTTGCGCAGCCCTGGCAGCGGGCACAGAAGCTTCATGCAAAGTGACAGCTGGGGCCGTGGCCCCCAGATGCAGGAGCTGGTTGACAAAGGCATGTGCAAGGCACCTGCATAGCAACGGCGGGTATGACACCTCAGCTTTTATGGCAGGGCCACCGTCGGGCAGGCGGCCCCAAGGTAGATGGTCATGCTTACCGTCACATGTGACCTGCAAGGCTTGCGCAAAGGGAATGTTGTGGCACAGCGAGGTATGCTTACGCCGCTGGCTTCCAAACATGCAATGATGAAAGCGCGTCTGCACATGTGGGGTACGGAGGGCTGACGCGATGCAAGATGTGAGCCACGCCAAGGAGCGATTAGGGTTCTCAAGGCACCACAGAATCCCAAGCTCAGTGCACCTCTGGATTAGGCTTGAGATGACCTCATAGATCCGGTTCGCGGTAGTGACACGCACAAGTGCAGCACCTTCAAGGTTGGAGACACCATCGGGAGCAGAATGTGAGCGCATGGTGCCAGGAGTGGTTGCCGTACCACAAGGGGGTGCAAAGTGGCACAGGACAACGTCTGGCCGTGAAATCATCTCAAGTGCAATCTGTGCGCCACCCGGGGTGGCAAGGTCAAGTGACACGACTGGACACTTGACACCATGGCAAGCCTGATGATCAACACCACGGCTGCCAACAAGACCCTTCTTCCGAACCTCGGCACAGAGACCTCCACTGCCGCAAAAGAACTCAAGGAACAAGAGATCGCGAAGGGGGCGACCAGCAATGCGGGCCTTGGCCTTGTCAAGGGCAGACAGGAGCGCTTCGGGAACCTGAGGCAGCCATTGCACAGGTGGGCAATCGGTACCAGAGTCAGGGGGCAGAGGAAACCCAAGCTCGGAAAGGAAAGTTTTATCAGCAGCCGACATGGCATTATGGTCACCACCTGCATATGCAATGAGAACGACACGATCACCGGACGACGGCTCAGTAGAACGCAGACAACGTCGGGCTGGGATTAGCGCATATTTGGCCGGTAGTGCGACCTCGTGCAGCTTGCCAGCCACCTGTGCTCCAGCATGTGAGCGCAAGACAGTACCTTCGGGACTCTGGACCCACACTTGGCCATCAGTAAAAGTATTGAGGGCACACACCAAATTATGGTCGGTAAAGTTGTTTGTGTCCTTGTGACACGATGTTGGGACATTGCGGTGCAAAGCGATTGAAGAAAAGGAAAAGTCAGGATTGATGCTCTTGACAAAGGCTACCGGCTACCAACGCAGCTGTACTAAGTGGAAATTCCCTGGTAGCACTGAGCACACCGTGGATCCCACCGCGACGAAAAGAACCACAGAGGAACTTGTCCCCTGCTTGATCAACATGATCGCGCAATTGTGCCTTAGGCAGCAAATCAAAAAGATGCAAGCTTATTTCCTGTTCCACAAACGTGCAATACAAAATCGAGTGATATTTGCATTGGGTTAAATATTTTATTCACGACAAAATGACTCCATCAGTATTTGCTGTATTCAAAGAGGCACATTCACACTCGCACTCTTTTATTCTGTATGTCGCACAATGCCGTGGGGTTAATCGAAGGAGAAACATTTCGGCAGTATTATGGCTCCCGCCACATGGTCACACCTCCAAGGTATGGCACAAGGGCAGGATCCACGAGTACACATGTGCACCCGTTATCACCCCGGGCGGGTGGGTGGGACACAAAATTT